GGAGGGGGTCCACCTATTGATGGGGACGGCACAATGCAGTCACGCAGCCCCCCTCTTCCCTCCCCTCCCGCTCCTTCCTTCCTTCCCTCTCTCCCCTCTACCGTTGTGACATGCCCCAGCCGCATTCCGGCCGCAAGCGCCGGCAGTGTAACTTGAAACTTTGGAATTTCTTTAAAAATAAAAATTGCACTGGCCCGCATGCGGCCCTCGGACTGCAGGCTGGACAAGCCTGCTGTAACCCCTCTCTGCACAGGCATGTGCTCCAGCTTACTGAGCTCTCTAGTTTTGCATTGTAAGATGGGATCACTTAAAGACTTGTAGAAAAAGAACTATAGCTTATGTAGCCTTCTCTTTGGGGAAAAATTCTTTGTGTATTCAAGAAAATAAGACATTGATAACTTTTTATATTGTGACTACTAATTGCCATCCTGCATATATGCACACACATGATTATAAATTAGATTTGAACAAAAGTGATTATTTCATTAATTTAGTGTAGGAGTGTCCACATGCCGCTCTCTGGGCCTCAGGATTAGATCTGTGGTCTGAGCAAAGGAGGCGTGCTTTACTTGCCCACCCAGTTTTAGGATAAGGTACCCGTCTCCTACTCAGACTAATAGTTGCCCCCAGCCCTATGTACCTAAGAAAAATGGCACATTTTGCAGAGAATTAAGTGTAATATATTCTGAATTTTCAGCTTTGATGAATGGACAGATAAAAGGGGAGAAAATAATACAGAAAGATGACTGGCAATTAATTCAGATTAGGTATATTAAAAACTCTTCTCTTTTGTTTCTTGCTATGATAATAGAACTTTGTGGGTTTGTGTGGGCTTCTGTTGCTGAGTATGAGAGCTCATGGAAGGGGAAGGGAATCCAACATGATTTTGTTAAAACTCCAGCAGAACTTTTCTTTTGAGGAGAAGAAATATTTAGGGGTCATGAAAATTAACCAGTGTAGGCAGGCTAGGCAACAAAATACCTTTCCCCCTCTGAATATTTTTTAAAATTAAAAAAAAAATCTCAGCATTTGAGGCTAGTACATCAACTTCAAGGCAGATTGTCTTGCATATTGTAAACCTATAATTATTTTAATTGAACAGGGTGATTAATAGAACTGTGAAATCCTGCCAGAAGTATTTGGTCTTTTTTTCCATTCTTTTGAACTCTTTTATTCATTCCTTATTAGCTTGATCTTCCAAGCTGTGCATTTTGTAGGCCTTGTGGAATGAAAAACAGACAACCAGGGAGAACATAACCCCATACAGAAGCAGGCTTCAAAAAGCAGGTCTCTTGAAACTGGAGTTCTACAGGCTTGAGTTGCCAGGAGTGAAAATGCATAGCAAAGGCTGGAGGGGGTGCCTGTTTAACAGGGACTGTGTGTATTTCCCAATTCAGGTACCTGTGGTGCCAGCCTGATTTGAGCAACAAAATCTATACAGCCCTCTGTAAACAAATACTACAGTTATCTGTTTACAGAGGCACACACAAATGTTGTTTTGTTTTCCACCGAGTCTTTTCTGTTCTTTGGTTATAACTAGACAGTCTTGCGGTCTGTGTATGCTGAGAGAAAGAAAAGGGATAATCAAACTGGAATGCTTTTAACATTATTAAAATGCTTGCACAGTATTCTGACATAGCTTCTTTAAGCTCGCCAAATAGCTTCTGTTTGAGCAAGGCAGTGAAACAATGATTTTGCAGCTCCTTTTATGAAGAAAGCTCACAACATTAATAGCTTTTAGCTCAGAAGAAAGGTGGGAGAGATATGATAGATTTGGATAAGAGTTAGGGAGAGATTTCTTCACTTTCCAGCATACCTAAGTATGGTGGCCAGCAAAGCAGAAAACGGGGCTCTCTTAGAAGTGTGTCATTCTCTCTCTCTCTCTTTTTGTTTGGGGGGGAGAGATGACTCACAACTCCAAGAATTCTGGAAGTTCTAGTTAATGGACTTACCTATAGACACACTCATTTTACTGGCTTCCTTCTCAGCCTTCATTTTTTTTGCTGGAGTGCTTCCTTGGGGTGTTAGTCTCATTGCACACTATGCTTTATAGAGGGTGCCTCCTGAAGAACCACTATGCCCTGGAAGCATTACAACAGGAAATTATAGCCCGAGAAGGAGAGCTTGACTTTGTCCTGGTAGCTGAAATATGTGTTTTTAGGTATGTGTTTCTGGGACAGAACTCCCAGGATTTTGCCCGGGAGCTTTTGGAGAATTCTACAAATTGGTGTCCAAAAATAAAAAAGAGAAAAGAGAAAAGATAGGAACGGCACACCTCTAGGCTCTGAATCTTTAATAGTGGTTTAGAACAGTGGTTTTTAACCTTTTTGAAAGAAACGCCCCCTTGAGCCATTGAGGAAGTTATCACCGCCCCCCTCCCCGCGGTGATGATATCTTTCTTATTTATTTATTTATTTATTTCACTTAAATCCAATGACCCCTGAAAACAAAATTCAATTCCAAGAAAATGAAAGGCCCCAAAAAAGTAACATTTAATGATTTAGTTGCAAGCGAATTTTAAGACACAAAAAGAAATATAAAAAGGGCATAAAAACAAACCACAATACAGGAACTAAAAATTTCAAGACGAAAACTCTGAAACTAAATTAAGATTGGAG